GTGGAAAGGCCTGCAAGGGGCACAAAATGTGTGTCTAGATTTACCTCCCAGCATCTCACTGGCCCTCTATGTGAGCGGCTTGTCCTTGGGTTGTTGTATTGGTGAAATGAGGCTTCCCCGATGGTCCTTCATCTTATTTCATCTGGAGACACCTTGTCCTCTTGTCAGTCAGAACCCTCCTTCGTTTCAGTGCGTGTTTACCTGTGTGCAGTTACAGTTGCCTGTTCTTTCCTGCATCAAGACAGCTTGGCAAAGATTAGCAAGGGTGGTTCTGAAATTGGGAAACTCTTCTTGGGAAACAGAATTCTCTATCAGCTTTTGACTCATGACCAGCAGATGGCGCTGTTACTGGAGACAGCGAAGCTGACATTGATGTATCTGCTTTGGGCCATCCCTCTGACCTTTCTCCATGGCACAACCCACCCGTACCTGTATTTACAAAGCGCTTTTCACGAAAGGTCAGATTCTGTGACCCTGCCACAAAGTACGCTGTGGTCAGGTGCAAGAAGGCCCTTCCTTGGGGAGGCTGCCTGTAGCTTATGTAACCTGCTCAGGAATTCACACTGCTCCAGGCCCGCCAGGAACCTGGCAGGGAGCCTGGGGCTTGAGCCAGCTTGCCCCCTCCCCGTCTCAGCACTTGGTCCAGGGCTTGTAAACATCTTTCCATCTGGCATGCTCCATCTTGCTGCCCTGCCTGGGCAAACCACAGCCACTTGTACTTTGTCTTTATGGTTGCTGGCTCCGTGACCAGTGACTGGGCTTGTGAACACAGGTAAAGAAAGCCTCCTCAAGAAGTTGCACAAATAGCACCATTGTTTGTTGTTTCTCACAGTGGGCACGTGCGTGTGATGAGGGAGAGTGGAATTGTCCCTCCGCAGCTGCCCCAGCAGAGGCGCTGGGGATGGATCGCTGTCGTATGTACGACTGCGTTATTCTGCCATTTTCTTTTTTTCCCCTGGTTAAGGCTGTGGACCTAGAGCTGGGTCAGATCTTCGTCCGTGCTGTCGTTCAGCACCACAGTCTCAGCTGTGTTGTTGTTGCAGCCAGTATCTGCTCACATTTCACTGCTTTTTGTTCACGACTTTGACAGTGTTGTGAGCACCTGAAACCACATGCATGTGAGCATCTGGCATCACATCACGGCAGCTCTCTTTGACCTTTAGCCTAGAGAGTCCCACTAAGCCGATCTAGACCAAAATCTCTTGGGGGATGCTCTAGTCCTCTGGTTGTTTTGCTTAGAGGATGTAAGGGGACTTTGGGGTCTCACTTGGCAGTGCCTGGCACATGGGGAGGAGGGTAGAAACTGACTGTCTTTCAGAGCTGACTTGTCTAGTTCAGGCATTGTTCCGCCTCAGCCTTCTAAATGCTGAGATTACAGGCATGTGCTACATACACATTTGGCTTAGGTACTTGACTTTAGCTTGGAGGACCCAGCTTTTCACCTAGTCCTGGACTCCATCATCCTGGCGTCCAGTTGAGGGTGCAAATGTATCTTCATGCAACTGTAAGGAAGCAAAATTAGGTCAAGGGTTCCAGACTGTTTACTCATACAGCAAGGGAAAAACCCACACAGACCTTCCCATGGCCGTCACCACTAACAGTTGGTTTGAGCACCAAGAACCCCTCTGCAGAAGCTTACCCTAATTAAGTTAATTATTAAATAATATCATGTACCTGGTTGTTTATCAACATGTATGTGTGATTAGCTCTAAGACTTGCCTGGATACGAACACCTGAAGATGTTCACGTTCCGTATAAAACAACCAAGTGTTTGCATACAGCCCGTGTACATTTCCCACATACTTAGAACAATCTCTAGAATGTTCACCACACCTGCTAATGCAGTGGAAGTACCATGTAAACAGTTTTCTATATTGTTTAGGGAATGGCTATGAGGAAAAAGCCTGTGTGTGTTCTGAGGTTGGTTAAGTCTGCAGGTATGCAGTAGTCTGCAGGATAGATGAGATAGTGTGCATATAATCATGGAGCTGTCACAGAGAGGTAGATTTGCAAGCTGTCCTAATACTTAGTAGCTATATACTCTGCTGTCCATCTTACAGCTAGAGAATGAAGGGCCCTGAGAGGTTGAATACCCCTGAAGAGTTTAGTACAGATGTTCTTATGCGCCCAAGGTAGAATCCGTGACAGCTGGTGATGGACTGCCCTCATCATTCAATATGGTGCTTACCACAAAACTGTGACCACCACATTGAACTGTTTCAAAGGAAAATATTCTAGAATCTGAAGTGGAGGACTGGAGTAGTCTAGACATATTCTGTGGGGACTCAAGTTAAAGCCCAAGGACCAAAGTGGGGTTTCAGGCCTCCTAGTAATCTGTATAAAATGTTTTCTATCTTAAAGAGCTGCCTCTGGGACCCCGTGTCAAGCACAGTGTTGTCCTTTCTACTCAGCATGCAGAACACAGTTCTGATCTTTGACGGCTGATGCTATAAAGACTAATACTGACATTGAGTGGACCTTCTTGTGGGCGTCAGAGGTCACCAGAACAGGGTCTTGGTTAACAGGAGGCCTCTTTTCAAAGTCTGACCTGTTGTGTTGGTGGGGCCTGTGGGGAGTCCTGAGAGAGGGGAAGTCCTGAGATTTCTCCAGATGTTCATGAGTTGATGAGATGGGGCAATGCTGTTGCTCCCACAGCTCCATGTAAGGTCAGTGAGAAGCAGGAAGCATGGATGTGATGGAGGCATTGTCTGAATACCTACAGGAGCGGTCACAGGAATGCAGCACAGCATTGTTGAGTGGCAGATGGCTCTTGTCGACAGTCCCAGGAGTATTTGAGACCTTGTGATGTGACAAATAAGAATTTGCATGCAGGAGATACATTAGGCCCAAGGTGCTTGAGAGCTGCCCAGCCTGTGGATACCTATCGCTTTCCTCCCACGCCTGGCTTGGACAGAGTTGGGATGCCTGGGTTATGAGTCAAAGTGTTTGTGTGTAGCTGAGTGATAGCCAGAGTAGAAGGTATGCTCAGTACACCTAACCCCAGGAACAGTCTGGGGAAGAGGGAAGGACTAGGGAGGTGGCCATAGGACAAGAATAGCAGTAACTTGGGTGGGTGGAAGGGAACAGAACCCACTGAGAACAAAAACAGCTATGGCTGCATTATATCTCCCTGTGGCTGGGACTGGGATCTCCCGATGCCCCTGTATTCACCCAGGTAGGTCCACAGGCCGCTTCTTCCTAGCAGCCCTCACTCACTCCCATGCATATGCTCGATTGGGCCCTGCTTGCCCTGACTTCCTGAGACCTTGTTCTTCAAATTTCTATTCTCTTAAATAGGTATACAGTTAGAGAGCAAGACTGCCTTGAAAGGGCCTTCACTTTTCCTTTCCCACCCCCGCCCTGACCCTGGTCACTTCTCATCTTCCAAGGCAGCCAGTGGAGAATAGGACAGGGTGAGAGGGCACAGGACCTTATTGGAGGGCAATGTGGAATCACCCCTGGCTAGGAGGGTTGAAGCATTTGAAGGGCAAGTCAGTGTGAGACACGAGGGCTCAGAAGAATATTCCGGAAGAATGTCTTTGATTCCAGGGACAAATCTTGGGTTTGAGTCCTGCTGAAGAGTTAAGAACTCTGCAAGAGGGAGTAGAAGACTTGAGGCCAGCATGCCAGTATTTATTGGGAAGCAAGCAGGCCTCTTGATTCCTGATTCTCCATAGATAGCTGCAAATTTGCTATGCCAAGACCACTGGAGATGGGGCCCTTGTCTGCAGCCCAGCAGAGGTGGGGCTGGGAGGAACCCGTGCATGTTTGTCAACAAGGAGCATCCCTTGCAGGCTTATTTATACCTTTTTGTTGCTTTATCAGACTGTTTCCTGGTAGATAGCACAATGTAAACAAGTTCTGGGCCTGCCCAGGGGTTGTGGTTCCCAGCCTTCCTGCCTGGGCTTCTTGGCCTTCTGCTTTCTGGAGTTTCTGGGATGGTTTCCATGGTAAGAGGATGACTGAGCTGTCAGCTGCACATTCTCTTGCCTGGGTGATGGATGCTGACGATTGGTACCCTGCTTTCCATTGACATCTGTGAGGTGCGGTGTTTTTAAGCCATCATTCACCACAAAGAGTCTCTGACAGAAGGTAGCTGTACCACATAAGCAAGCCTCCCTGTCACAGTCTCCAATGGCATGGTGTGCTACCCTGGGCACTGTGTGGTCTCAAAGGTGAGTCCAGCTCAGTCTGCCTGGAACCCATGGAGACTCTGGCAGGGCACTGCTGGCTTGTGGCTCTTCCTTTGCCACCAGAGTGAGATCCACACCTCTTCCTCACCATGGCCTGATGCTGGGAGGCCTTTGGTAGAAAGATGGGACAGGGCAGACCAGGCACACACTCTGGCCACGGTCCATGTAGACTGTCTGCACCCTGATGGTCAACATAGCCATCCAAGGTGGCTTGAGCTGTGCCTGAGGTAGGATGCCACAGCCTTGGTTTGAGTCGCAGATGTGATTCTAGTACTTCCTTTAAAATGCTACCTCCAGGACCCTTGGGCTTGTCTGTCTGGCTGGGTCTCTGTCTGTGACGCCCCATCCCCCTATTTCCCAAGCCCCCACTTTGCCCCACCCCCATATTCTAGCCTGTACTCAACAAGACGGCAGCAATAACCTGTGTTTCCATGGTGTGAGAACCAAAGACACATTCAGTGGAAGCATGGAGATTTTAGATGAAAGGGGAATATCCTCACAGTCCGCTGCTAAAATCTAGATGAGAGACCACGGAAGTCTTCTAACACAGCTCCCTGTCTGAAGGGTGTGGCCCATCCCGGGACAAACAGCTGTGGGCTTTGGGGATTTTCCTTCTGTTGAGATAACATGGGGGCCATAAGGGGATGGTCAGTGATGTGCTGACTCCCCCCCCCCCCCCCGGCATCTTCAGATAGGCATTTCCAGTGTGAGCTCCTGGCCACAGCTGTCCCGGGCCACACCATCCACACTTCTGTGCTGAGCTCTGCCCCTCAGCCATTGCTTGTTTCTCGTCCCCTCTTGAACCAGGTCAAGTGCTATCACAAGAAGTTCCGCTCGGCCACCCGTGACGTCATTTTCCGCCTGCAGTTCCACACCGGAGCTGTGCAGGGCTACGGACTGCTGTTTGGGAAAGAGGAGCTGGACAGTGCCTGCAAAGGTGAGTGGATGGAGCCCTCTGTCAGAAGCATTGTCCTTCTGGGTCTTCTTCCCACTCGCTGGCAGAGGTACTGCCAACAGAAGCAAAACTGAGTTGGTCTGTGGATGAACAACTCAGAGAAACCAGGGAGAGGTGGACACTCTGTGCCCGAGGGTGTTCTGTGGTAGCTTTGGGATTGACCTTGCATGGACTGGGGTGTACACAGTGTGATGTGGTTCATTTTTCAGATGACCGTTTTCCTGACTACGGCAAGATTGAATTGGTCTTCTCGGCCACACCTGAGAAGATTCAAGGTAGGTCACCGGTAGGACAATGGGCAGCCAGACCCTAACTCAGGCTGGAGACAGCTTTGAGGACCCTGAGCTTGTATTAACACCTCCCATCTTGGCACATACTTGGAAATTTTTATTATATATGGTGGTGCTGTTTGGGGTCTTGTGTATTCTAGGCCCTACTACTAAGCTTGGTCTTGGGTGATTTTTTTTTTTTTAAATAGCATATTGGATAATAAGCAGGAGGTACTCAAAAAGCCAAAGAAAGAAAGAAAGAAAGAAAGAAAGAAAGAAAGAAAGAAAGAAAGAAAGAAAGAAAGAAAGAAAGAAAGAAAGAAAGAAAGAAAGAAAGCAGGAGGTGGCTCTGAGATATTAGCACTCACTTGGGAAAGACCAAAAGGTAGTATGACTTGTCCGTGGTGATTCCTGAGGGAGCCCTTGCAGGCTAGGGTACCTGAGGGTTCACCGTACATCTATAGAACTATGAAGTTGTACCAAACATTTGCTTCTTCCCTCAGAAGAAGTGTTTGAAAAAGCCAGTACAGTACACCGAATGTCTATGTGTTTCAGAAAATAGATTTAATAAGAATTAATTTTCTTTACTACTCCGGTGAAATGTTGCTATCTGTCACCAGGCCTCCCGTGCATGACTGTTCCAATTTTAACTTTTTTTTCCTTGTTACTATTTGGGGACAGAAATCACTTTGTAATCTAGGCTGACCTCCTGATCATCCCACATTAGCCTCCCCAGTTCTGAGATTATTATAGGGGTATATTTGCAGGCACACGATAACTTTAACTCCCTTTGTAATTGCTTAGGAAATTACCACTCCTTTACTAGGCTCATTGTTATAGATTTAGGCAGGAACCGTTAAATACAAGGCTCGCATGTTAGAATTTCCCCGAGATGTCTTGAGACCCTGGGCTTTGCTGAGATTAACGCACCTGTCACGCCCCACAGGATCGGAGCATCTGTACAGTGACCAGGGAGTGATGGTGGACTATAACACAGCGGACCCACTGATTCGGTGGGACTCCTACGAGAACATGAGTGCCGATGGAGAAGGTGAGTGCTGCGGCTTGTAGCAGGGAGGTGCAGGGCTGAGACAGCATGTTCATGGCTACATCAGCAAAGCCCTGTGTTTGCTTACACGGTGGCCGTTACCCTGCACCCCACAGTCCAGAGGCTGCACATGTCAGTTTTGAAGGCATTGACAAGGATCAGACTTGGTGAATTTGGATCAGGGCCCTTTTTGAAGCTGTAGTATGTGGAGGGCTGGTTGGAAGCCTCCTGACTGAAGCTGGGAGTTGTAGCTGGAGTCTTCTCCAATCCCACCTAGGCCTGCAGCCACTCAGACCCAAGTAAACACACAGAGACTTAACATTACTTATAAACTGTATGGCCATGGCAGGCTTTTTGCTATCTAATTCTTATATCTTAAATTAACCCATTTTTATTAATCTATAAGTTGCCACATGGCTTGTGGCTTACTGGTACTTTTACATCTCGCTTCTCATGGCGACGGCGGCTGGCAGCGTCTCCTGACTCAGCCTTCTTCTTCCCAGAATTCTCTTCTCTGCTTATCCCGCCTATACTGTACTTCCTGCCTGGCTACTGGCCAATCAGCATTTTATTTATCAATCAATCAGAGCAGCACATTCACAGCATACAGAAAGACATCCCCAGCAGGGAGTGGGTACTGCTGGGGCCTGGGGCCTTCCGTCCTTTCCTTAGAATATGTGCTGGGGAATGCCACATACTGGGCCAGGGCCCAGGACCAAGCCTCTGCTTGCTGTGTAGCCCGAGTCGTGGACCTTCTGGCACTGTTCAGGTTTGCTTGTTATCCAGGTTGTAGATAGACGCCCAAATTACTCAGCACATTCTCTGTTCACAGAGTGTACACTGTGACTCCCAGGTGACCCACAAAGCAGAAAAAGAATAAAGGGACAGTCATCTCCTGGTGCTACTGAGAGAAGCCATTGGGGTTGATTTCTGAGAAGTGGGCATCCAAGTTTCTTTGGTCTTTCATGGCTTTTGTTGTTAACTTTAAAAATAGTACATTTTATTTATTTATTTTGTGTTGTAGGGAGGTGATGAGCATGCCACATTGTGTGTGTGTGTGTGTGTGTGTGTGTGTGTGTGTGTGTGTGTGTGTGTGTGTATACACATGCATGCATGTGTACATGGGATCAAACTCTGGTTGTCAGTCTTGGTGGCACTAATCAAAGCCTTTAGTACTGGGCCTAGGAGGGTGCTGGGGATGTTGACCAGGCAAACCATTGGTTAGATTAGAACCAGAGAGCCACGCAATGAAGTCACCATTAAGTGGGTATGCAGAGGGGCCACCGAAGACCAGCTGAGCCATCTCACTGGCCAAATCATTTATATTTTTAAACTACTGACTGAGAATCAGACCTGCTGGGAGAAAGAAAATTGGAGTTCTTTTTGTCAAGTAAGTGACATCCTGGTGTAAGGCACCAAACACCAGTATCTGGAATTACCCACACCAGCATCACCTCCTTGTCAGTCAGTCACTGCATTTCCAGACTTGGGCATCTGTGGCCAATGCTAGAGACACCAATTCTATGTCCCCCTGCTTGTACTGGGGAAGTCACATGGCTTTCTGTGCTGTGGAGTGTGAAATTTCGACAGAGGGAATTCCTGGGATTTCAAATCCGTCTGGACCTGAAGTGGTGCCAGAGGTGAAGTGTGAATGCTTTGGGCATTAAAACACAGGTGAAATTTGGATGTGAGCAGGCAGGTGTAGACAAGGCGAACCTTTCTAAGTTTCTTCACAGTGTGAATCATTCGGAAGCCTGCTCCTTCAGGTGCCGGCATAGAAAAACGATTATAGCTGAACATGTTCAGAAAAACTTTGGAATTGTTAAGAGTTCCCTGTTAGGTTTATTCCTATAGGATTATTGGTCTTGACCCCAAGAGTGTGTCCTAGTGATGTCTGATAGTGTTCAGTGCAGCTCTTTTCCATCAGCCATGCTTCTGCTGCCTTCCACTGGAGAAGAGTGATGGGCTGGCTCCTTCAGGAGTGAGTGAGTGAGTGGCTCAAGGCAGGAAGAGTAAGGGACACTTTGGAGAATGGGATGGAATGCCATGAAAGTGCTGGGTCTGGGAGGGAGTGGGGATGGTGACCAGACACGCCATTGGCTAGATGACAGCCAGGCGCCATGTAATGAAGTAGGTGGCTATGCGTAGGGTCCTCCAAGGACCGGGGGCATGTGGTCAAGAACTCTTGCTGGAGTTGTGGAGCTGGCATTCTTCATATGATGGATGTCAGGTTACTTACATGCAGATGGACTACCCTGAGAGTCGGTGTCCAAAGGCTCAGGTTAAAGGATGAAAGAGTGATTGGGGCATGTGACATCAGAGCTTGTAGTCCATGATCACCTCGTGTGCACTGCTTTTGGCTCATGGCAATCGGATCATTAGAAGAAGGATGCCGCAGAGCTCTTGACCTGCCATCTAGGAGGCAAAGGAAGAGGAAATGGCAGGGGAGATGAGAAGATACAGTCTTTAAAGACAAGCCTCCAGAGATTGGTTCCTCCACCAGACCTCTCTTTCTGTGCTGTTACAACCAGAGGTAATAGTCAGACCCAAAGAAAGCTGCTCCGCATGTACTCATGGCTGCTGTTTCATTCTGTTCAGATGTGGTAGCAGATGGTCACAGCTTTGTGTCTTCCACAGTTGTGGGGGCTGGAGATGCAAGATTGGTGTGCCCGCAAAGTGGTGTTCCCGATAGGTATGGTTTTAGAATGCTGTGCTCTTGTGTGTCTTCATGGCAGGAAGATGGTAAGAGAGCTCCCTGGAATCTCTTTGTAAGGGCACCAGTCCCATCACAAGGGCTCCCCTTTGAGGCTTCATCACCTGCTAATACCATCTCATTGGATGATGGGATTCAACAGAAGGGGTTTTGGAGGCCCACAGACAAACTATAATAGATATTTGATGTGTTTGTTGAGTGAATCATCAGAGAAACTATTTAATCTTTAGTAATTTATTCTGACAGTTCCCCTTGGGGTGATTTTTCTCTCAGTGTCTCCTAAGGCGGACAGTGTGATCAGGGGGCAGATCTTGTAGTGTAGGTTGTGTGGTTTGAAGTTCTGGGGCTTTGCAGGTGGATGGTCTGGCTGGTAGGAAGTGAATAAAGTTCTCTGGGTTGCTTGGTTCTGTGCCTGAGTCGACAAGGAGCTGGTCTAAGTATCTACACCCAGTTGGTGGTTGGCACATTGTTTTTTGAGCAGCACCTGGCTACAGTTAGCTCAGGCTGTTAAAGGATGCCACATGCCCTATAGAAATTACCCTGCCTCACCTCTCGCAGATTTTCTTGGTACGGGGCTCCACTGGAAACAAGGCTCTAAGACCTTGGCCCTCTGTTATCAGTGGGCTATGTCAATGCAAAAGTTAAGTTTAGAAAATTGGGCAGGGGGTGGGGTGGGGACAGAAGGAGGAGAAAGGTACAGTAGGGTTTTTATTTTTCTCTTGGAAATCAGTTTGTGTTTAGATGCTTGTACTTTTTCAAAACTGCAAATTATCATTTAAAAAAAGTTTCACCAGTGTTACTTGCCTGCAGACGAAGCTCTTGACATTGCTGTACTTTAGGCCTGGATTCATTCTTCCTTCCTTCCTTCCTTCCTTCCTTCCTTCCTTCCTT